CTTTGGAAATTTTAACAAATTTGTGGCACCCTACAAAATGTATTTTGTCACAATACTTGAATTTCTAACTTTGATGTGATACTTTGAAAAGTATATTTGGTACAGCAGGGAAGAACTGCAGAATATACTGTCATACAGATATTTTTTAACATTCTTACATTTTTTTTGTCCATCAATGGTGGCAATCAGTAGGCTCATTTCTAATGAAGAGACCAATTTATATGACAGATTTTAATGTAGGCTTTTATTAATATGTAAACATTGTTTAATTACCATTTGATATCTCTCAATTTTTTGCTCACTCAGTGTATTTTTTATTTTACAGTGGGGTAATTTTGTTGCAGTAGCACGATATTTGATTTCAAACTTTGAATTGAATAAAAAATGACAAGAAGTCAGTAATAAAATAAGAACAAATAATGAAATTACTAATGATAGCACAAATAAAAAAATAACAATAGGCCTACAAATGAAATAAATTGCTTTTTAGTTTTTCAGGTAGGTCTAACTGTAGGACTATTAATAGATTGTGTTTGTTTGTTTGCTTTTACAAATTATCCAAATAATGTGTAGTCCTAGAAAGCTATTATTATCAGAACACGTGAGCATAACATAGCGGTTAGCAGATCAATGAATGAGAGGGCAGCGTTACCAGAGTTGCTCATATACCACACCATGTTACTGCACAGTAGGGCTATTGCAAACAGAAACAATAATGTACTACATATTTGTTTCCTGTCGGCTCTACTTTTGAGTGGACTTTGCTGTTCCGATGAGTGGAGACTGAGCGGAGCGCACACGCATAATACGCAGAGCGTCACACCAAGTGAAAGTGAAACCTGAGCGGTGAACTCATTTTCTCTAATAATAATAATCTCTAATTCTTGATGACATCAGAAATGGATACTAAATAATATATGCTTTTTTGAACATTTTAGAAATGTAAAAATATTAAAAATATATATTTTTACACGGCACCCCGGTTGGGAAATACGGGGCTAAGCTATAGCCTACCTTAAGAAAACCAGCACTCGTAGTTTTTGTACTTTTTATGTTTTATTCCTCTGATTGGTGAGTAATACATATTTGACGTCTCTGTACAGGGTTGCTCTTTGTAGCATTTAAAGCATTTAGAATATTTACGTGTTGCGTCGTACATCTCTAGGAGTGTTTGGTGTCGAGACAGATGAGATGTCAGCGATGGAGGGAGATTCCTTCACTCTCCGTACTGGTCTTCCAGAAATACAGAGAGATGATGAGATCGAGTGGAGGTTTGGATCGAGCAGAACTCGTTTAACCAGAATAGCGGTGGGTAACATTACTACATGCAATGACGAGACATTTAGAGACAGACTGCAGCTCGAAAGACAGACTGGAGATCTCACCGTCACAAACATCACTAATGAACACACTGGCGTTTATCAACTGAGCATCATTATCAGGAATAAGAAGTCAACCAAGCGATTCGCTGTCACTGTTTATGGTGAGATGAAGTTGTAGGTGTTGTAAACAATAGAAAATCTTTCTAGTTTTGTTTATGTTTCCCCTTTGTTTCCCAGCTCCTGTGCCTATTCCTGTAATCTTCAGTGATACTTCACAATGTGCTTTATCGGCTGAAAGATCATCGAGGATTTTCCTGTGTTCAGTGGTGAATGTGAGTCATGTGACTCTCTCCTGGTACAAAGGAAACAGTTTATTGTCCAGCATCAGTGTGTCTGATCTCAGCATCAGTCTCTCTCTACCTCTGGAGGTGGAATATCAGGAGAAAAACACCTACAGCTGTGTGGTGAACAATCCTGTCAGCACCCAGACCAGACATCTGGACATCGATCAACTCTGTCAAATAGACTGCGACCTTTGTTTTGACTCTCCTGAAGCTGTGATCCGACTGGTCGTCTCTGCTTTGATAAGTGTAGCTGCTGTGGCCGCTGTTGTTCTTCTGGTTAATGACATCAGAAGATTCGGAAGAACACAGACAATGAAACGGTGATGTACTTGATATAGTATAGCAATAATAAACAGTTTGTTTCTTTCTCTTTCTGCCTCAACATTTTTTTAAGTATTTCTTTCATTTTTTTTATTTCAGTGTTATAGTCTGATGCAAACCTGGTGCCATTTAGGTTACATAAAAAAAAAAAAAAATTATAGGTAAAAGAGCAAATAGGCTGCTTCTAGTGGTAAGACATGTAAACACCCTGGCTAATCTTTCTATGTGCCTCTGGCAATTTCAGAAACTTCCAATCCATCCACAATGGAAGCACTCCAGAAAGCATCCACTCTTGCTGTTCACTCTGATTTCTTACAGTAGTCTCAGTTGTGTCTGTTCATTTGGCTTTATTGTGTATTTGCACACAAATCAAACACTGCATGAACTGAACTAATGAACTAAATTTGGATGCAAACAATTGGGTTTGGGGGAATAGTCAGTATTTATGTAACTACTAATGACACAGATTAGAAGTGACATTTTTGCACCTGTAAGACCAATCACAAATCCCCATGCGAACAGCCTAAAGATTAAACAAATAAGAACCATTTAAATCAACATTGTGAAGACCATATATATATATATAAAATTTCAGATTACTCATGATAAAATTTCCTTAATTGTTCATATTTTATATATTATCAAATATATTTGAAGTCAATAACTAGATGGAATAACACATTTCACAAGGCCCATTAGGAAATGAAAGCTTTTTAATTATGATATTTTTATGATGTTCATTCACATATAGTGCATATTCAGTTAAAGGCTGAATGAATGCTAGCTACATTTCTTGATTTTGATGCATTGTAAACCGCATTTGTTCACTAGAGTGCAGAAATATTCAGACAGTGGAACAGCTGTAAATCGGTATACATTAAGTTCAGAGTCATAACAAAAGGGTCAGATTTAATTCACAAAGCAAAATGCAAAACAGTAAAAAAAAATCTATACAAATATTAATATGCTACAAAAATGGGATGGTACAAAATGGAAATGCAAGAAGAACTTAAATTTTAAGCAATTAAAAAGCAAAAAGTATTGCTCATACATGTAGTGCTGCACATTACACTGTATGAGTCAAATATCTGTAAACTGTGTCTCTCAAATACAGATTAAGAATACACTGATCAGTGTGTAGTGTAAACTAATACATCAACCAAACCTTGCTTATCTGTTTATAGCAAATACAGCCCTTGTTCATTTATACAGCTTGTTTATATTGTTACTGTGGTTATGTACTGTTATGAATGGATTCATGCTGATCCTGAGGTTGATTCAATTGATCCTCGCTTAAACCTGTTACAAAAATATGGAAAGAGACACAGCAATGAATAAAATATAGTTTTAATCTTGCAGTATACGCAGGTCATGGATGCATTCACACACATAAAGAAAACACATACTTTCAACAGTGAAAACACTCATGGAGAATCTTACCACACTGGACTGGAGTTCCTGCTTAGATAATTCCACCTTCTGGAAGTAAACACAAATTTAAATCTATTGAAAATCCTGAACTTCATTAAGACAGAAAGGTATGTGAAAACCCAACAATAACATTTGTTTTCTTTGAGCAGTATTGCTCTTTTTGGAGTCAGAACTGTTTTGCTAGCTAAACTTATTTTTCGTTAAACTTTTAAGCTTCCATTAAGGTAAGCAGTAAAACCTTATCCCATTCTTAGGACATGTAATAGCACACTTATAGCACACTTGTATACTAGACACCTTTGTTTGGTATGTATACACTGTTTGCTCTAAAGTAAAGTAAAGCATCAGAAGGTCAGTGTTGTATTTAATATTTCTATATTAGGCTACTGTTGTTTGTTTGTGATGGTGCTTAATATCTGAATGGACAAACTTCATACAAGCACATTATTGGCATAGAAACAACAAAAGACACAAAATGTCTAAAATAATGCTGAGATCAAACACAGATCATATTTGCAGCAGCTGTGTTAATTTTTCTGCTGCTCATCTTAATCATCTTAATAGTAATAAGATTTCACTGATGTTCTTTTATGTTATTTAAACTGTGGGTAATACTTACTCTTGCGGTGACAGTAAATCACAAAAGCAACTGTAACTGCAACTAAGACTATACAAACACATATCAGTGCTGTATAACCTGGGTGAAGACCTGGATCTTCAGTGTGGCTCTTTGGTGTTACAATAGCTAAAATGAGACCATAATTAGTGTGAGTGAATTAGTCGTTTTGATTATATTCTTATAAAAAATCTTTTAGAAATGCATAATATTTTATTGTCTATTTTTGTTATGGTTTGTCATGCATATCTACTCACCTTTGACAGTAACAATTATAGTCCTATGTAAGGTGCACATTTTGTTGCTCATATTTAGATGATAATCTCCAGAGTCTGTGGTTTCAGAGCCACTGATGGTGAGAGATCCTGTTTTTTCATTAAGCTGCAGTCTGCCTTTGAATCTCACATCAGCATTTTCACATACTATGAACTGATTGGTCCCTTTATTGACTTCAGCAATGAGAAGGTCTTCAAACTTCCACAATATCAGATCATATCTTTGTATGTCAATAAGACCAGTGTGTAGAGTGACAGATTCTCCCTCCTTCACTGACACAGTCTTTGCAGCACCTGTCAGCAACAAATACATATGAGAACAAACAGGTAACTCAGATATTAAATTCACATCACATAGGACTTAACACTGATTCATTTGGGAATATTTTAGATACACTCTTATCAAGTCCTATGTCAATTAGCCAAATACATTCTTACTATAGCTCTTACTATAGCAGTTGGTCTCTACCTTTTTGACTCGAAGAAGCCTGTTGTCCAACTGTTTTTGAAGCCGGGTATTTGTGCTGTAGTTCTTAAAGTTTTATTAACAGAAACTGGGAGCATTGATAAATAAATGAAGTCATGTTTTTATTCCATAAATTTCAAGAACTGTATGTTCTTCAATAAGAACAGTTATTGAAAAGGGAAAACTATTATAACTATTATGACAGCAGTTTACACCTTGATTTTGATGATTGATTTTATGATATATATATATATATATATATAAATAATTTTTATTTTATATTATATTTTTTTTGTATTTTGTATTTTTCTACATTTATTTATTTATTTTTCCCTATATTGGCTGTGAAGATTGGTTTAGTTCTGACCATGTTACCATTCGATTCATGAACCTTGAATCAAATTTTCATTTGTCACTGCGCAGATAATGTCACCATTAATTTCATTTTAATTCGTAACAGGATTTGCCATCACTTCACAGAACATTGAAACCAGGAGTTGTTAGCTGTTTTAGTACAGTGACAATGCTGTCAATGAATTCAAGCATCCTAACACCAGTGTAGTTTTCATGGCAAGATTCATGAACCTTGAATCAAATTTTCATTCTAGCCACTGCGCTGATAATGTCACCACTGATATGGGGCCATGGTCCATTCTAGATTGTACTGTGACCTGGTTAACTTCTCATCAAACTTAAACTTTCACGAGTTCGCCTGCCAATCCAGTCCTGATGGTTTGCTGTCCTTAATGGAGGCTCGAAGCCGAGGCTCAGCTTGAGCCCCCATTGTGGTACTACCTAGAGCAGGGGTGGCAAACTCCGGTCCTGGAGAGCCGCAGCCCTGCAGAGTTCAGCTCCAACCCTAATTAAAACTCACCTGCCTGTAGCTTTCTAGTAACACTTCAGACCTTGATTAGCTTGTTCAGGTGTGTTTGATCAGGGTGGAAGGAAAACTCTGCAGGGTTGCGGCTCTCCAGGACCGACATTCACCACCCCTGACCTACGGTAGAGGGAGAATAACAGAAACAGAGGAGAAGGAATGCCAGAAAAATCGATGCTTGGACAGTGCAATGAGACCTGCTTATATTAGGGTGACCATGCAGGACGTGTTTGCTGCTAAAATCACATTTTTAAATTTTATCTGACCATAGAATCCAGTCCTGTTTGAAGTATGTTGGAGTTTTTTCATTTGAGAGCATTTTCTTTTCTTTTCTTTTTTAAAGGCTTTCTGACCCCAAGACTCAACTAATCTCTGCAATTCTCCAGCTGGGATCCTTGGAGAGCCTTTGGCCACTCAAACACTCCTCCTTACTGTGCATTAGGACGATATAGACCAGGGGTGGCGAACTCCGGACCTGGAGAGCCGCAGCCTTGCAGAGTTCAGCTCCAACCCTAATTAAAACTCACCTGCCTGTAACTTTCTAGTAACACTTCAGACCTTGATTAGCTTGCTCAGGTGTGTTTGATTGGGATTGAAGCAAAACTCTGCAGGGCTGAGGCTCTCCAGGACCGATGTTCGCCACCCCTGATATAGACACACATCCTCTTCCATACAGATTTGTAACATCTTTAGTTGATTGGAACTTATTAATTATTGTCCTGATGGTGGACATGGGGATTTTCAATGATTTAGCTCATTTCGTATAGCCACTTTCGAATTTGGCCTTTGTATTACCTCATATTTATACTCCTGTGAAATAGAAAATTAATGGCTGGTTAATTTCATGTTCCTAGTCACCCTGGTGTGCAAAAAAAAATGGAAATATACTTTAGAGATATTTTTCTCATAAGAATTTCTTAGTGTAATTGTGGCCATTGTGTAATAGAGAAAAATATTTATTTCACAGTGTGA